GCCTCACCACTGTGTGACTCTAAGCAAGTCAGTTACCTTCTCCGAGACTCAGTCTCCTCATCTTTAAAATGGGGATAAAAATTTCTATACTACCTATGCCATGAAATAATGATAAGTACCAAATGAGGTGCTCTATGAAAGTGTTTTGTCCTGGGTCATCTCACTAATGGAAGCATTCACTCCAACCACAATGATTGCACCCATCTATGCCTGACCATCCTGTAAGACTCTGAACCATGCCCTCCCATAAATCCACTCTGTAAGAGCCCACCCATAGTGCTGCAAGCCTTCCTCTGCTGGAGAAAGATGGAATTTACAAGACAGATGACCTATGGGAACTCTTTTAATGACCACAAGCTTCTCCCAAAAACAAAAGCCCATCTTTTCAATGAGAATATCTTTCCTGAAGATCTGAGTTCTAGTCCTAAGTCTGGTTTATACTAGCTGTGTAACCGTGAGCATATAATTTCACTCCCAGCAACCTCTCCAACATAACAAGTGAGATGGTTGCTAGGCTGCATCAGTGAAGGGAGTCTTCCATGAGGAAGTTCCAATCATAATAAACTTGAAGATCCAGACAGCCCCTCTCCAGAAAAAAAAAAAGACCCTTCTCATGGTAACTGTGGCTGTGAGTTATGGACCACAATAACCTCTGAAAAACTGAAGTGAAAGATGAACCAACAAGGACTGAAGAGGAACCTTCAGTCTGCACCCTGTTACAAATACAAAATTGTTCTGGAGGAACAAGGAGAGAAAGCCTGGGGCCGTGGGAAGAGTGCTGGATTGGGGGACAGAAAAGGGCTGGGGACCAAATCCTGGCTCTGTTACTTCTTCCTCAGGGTAATTAGAGCAAGTCATTTCTCCTTTCTGTGACTTGATTTCTTTATTTGTTAAAACAGAGAGATTTTATAGATTAGAAGTCCCAGTCTTCAATCTATTGTCCAGCGGCATCAAAGAAGTGTATTAAGATAAGGTGGGAAAATCTCCCAGTAAGAACAAGGAATTATTGTTTTTTAAAATCACTTTTGATAAATAAATAAATTCACTTTTGGTCTAAGGCAGGTGGCAGCCATTTCCTGCTGACATGAGACATTGAAACCCAGCAACTTACAGACTTGTCTTCAGTGATCTCACAACAACCTGAAATGAGACCAGAAGGATCACCCTATTTCACAGCTGGGGGACAGAATTTCAGAGGGGCTGGGTAACTTGTTCAAGACCTCCCACTCCTGAGGGAGAGACAGAGAGAAGAAGCCCTGGTTTTCCTACTTCTCAATGACAGTCTTTATGCCCTCTTAGGGTGTGGCCAAAACCCTCCCACCCTATCTCACACATCTTGTCCCTCTCAGGGAATGTCCAAGGCCTCTCTGGGTGACAGACCCTCCTCTTCCAGGGAAGTAAGATTCTGGGTCTGTTCTGGCTCATACTGAAGCTCCCCTGACCAGTCCACCATAGCCCAATCCCCTGGGGTAACATCTCAGAGAAGAAAAAGAGGAATTATTGGGAGAAAAGAGAAAAGGAGAAAGAGGGGACAGAATAAATGGAGAGGGAAGAAAGGACTCAGAGGGAGGAAATGGGGGAAGAAGAAGAAAAGGAGAGGAGGAGGAGGAAGAAGCATGAGCCTAGGTCCTCCAGATTCCTTCCCACAAGAACCATCTCTTACATCACTGGTCTCTCTGGGATCAGACAAATGAGATGAAGTTGCCTCGTGCTCATATTGCCCCTTTCCTCACAGTGTAAGTGTAGAGGAACCTCCACGCACATACCCCTGCTGCCTCTCTTATGCCAGGGGCAAGATTCCATAAAATGTAGTGGCTGATTATATTAATGCCCAAGAGAAAGGTGCCCTAAGCCAGTGGTCATGTGAGTAAAGGGGTGCATGGACCACTTCTAAAGGAAGGGAGAGAAAGAGAAGGAGAAAGAGAAAAGAAAAGGGAAAGGGAGAGAAAAAGAGAAAGAAAGGGAAAGGAAAGAGGAGAAATAGAAATAGAAAGAAAGAAAGAGAAAGAAAGTGAAAAAGAAAAAAGAGAGAAGCAGGAAGGGGCTGACATTGGGAAGCAGCCCTTCATGGAGGCTGAAAGCTAAGGCTGCAGAAGGGTAGGTCTCAGACCTTTGTACACTGCTAAGTGCAGAGAAGGGAAGGGATTACAAAGGATGTCAAGCCCAGGGCTCAGAAAAAAAAATATTGACTTGTGTTTGTTGTGCCCAGAAGTGATGGGGCTGGTGCTCTGGCTGGGCACAGGAGAGAATGAGAAAGCAAAGCAGACTGTGCCCTGCAGAGGGGCAGGCAGGATCATGTGATCTTAGATTTAGAGTTGTAAGGGACCTTAGAGACCCTCTTAACCTCCTCCCTCACTTTTTTATAAAGGAGGAAACTGAGGACCAAGAAAGAAAGGTGATGATGTGCTTAAGACCACACTCATAATAAGAGTTGAATTTGAACACAGGACTTCTTACTATAAATCTAGAACTCTTACTTCTTCCTCAAGCACCTCTCAGGCTTCTAATGGGAGGGGAAGAGGAGGAAGATCTTCATCTTTTTTTCAAAGAGAGATTAAGAAGGTTTTCTGAATGAACTCCCAGGGAGCCACTGAGGTGACAGACATGGGCATTGAGGAGGGTCTTGAAATTCTGCCAGCAAATGACAGTCCTGAGATGAATGGGCATGGGTCTGCTGGGCAGAGAAGGCAGGAAGACTGTGGGGCCACGTTGCGGAAGAGACGTCTGGAACGGAAACCTTCACCTTTTATATCCTGCTTCTCATAGTTCAGTTTCACCACACTGAAGGGCCACAAGGTCTGTGCCAACCCACAAAAACAATGGGTGCAGAAATAAATGACTGAACTAACACAGGGGAAGATGAACACTTTGAAATTTATCCACAGGAAGAATAAAAATGATTTCAAAAATAAAACTGTTTTGCACTACTTAGGTTACTGGTTGTCTAAACAGAGATTTATTGATACGCCTTGTGTTTCCATCATCTACAGCTCGCAATTCCAATGTATCCCTCCCTCCCTACTCCACCTGTTTTATCTGATCTCATGATAGCCAATGAAAGAAGAGATGATTGCATTTCCTCTGGGAATGAATCTGAAGGATGTAGGCCCACTCCTCTCCTCCTTTTTCTCAACTTCATCTATCTCCATCTTTTCCAACTTTCTCTTCTTTTCTTGTCCCAATCCTTACCTCCATCTCCTCTTCCTTCTCTCTCCTTCTCTCCTAACAATACTCCTTTTCCTTACCTCAGATACTACCTTAGGGGACTGGGCTGTGAAGGAAGGTTCCATGTGGGCCATAACAGGACTGGGATTATATACCCCTGTTGTGAAAGGTTCATCACCCAGACAGGCTTGGACATTCCCTGAGGGAAGCCCAATGCATCAAATAAGATTGGACAGCTTTGGTCATACCCAAGGGGGGACTGGAGAACTTGACTGGGAAGTGGGAAATCCAAGCTTCCTTCTTATCTTCCCTCCCAGAATCTTCCCTTAGAACAAAGAATTAAAAAGAGAGGAAGAAAGCATTTCAGAAAAGCTAATCTCCACATGGAGAAGGGCTGGCAGTGAAGGGTCCAAACCCATGGTCACCCACCTCCCCACAGGCAAAGAGGCTGGGGTCTTCCAGGCAATCCTCTTGATGCCAGGCTGGATCACATCATTTCACCCTTTTGTGCCACTGCTCCTCTTCTCTCCATTAACACTGCAGGAGTCAGTGTGTGTACTGTTGTCCTGGTTCTCTCTCCTGCCTTGGCTCTGGTGGATAGAAGCCTTGTCAGGCTGCTCTGTGTTTATCATTTTCATTTTCTTTATAACACAGTCATATTCTGATCAAAGTCACGGACTAGGGATGGCTAAGCAAGTGGGATACAGATAACCATATGTGGCTTTGATATGTTTATCAATTAAAAAAAAAATTAAAATAGGGGCCCTTGCCAGGACTGAATAGGTGTGCAGAAGAATTACACTGAGATGTCAGGGAAGCTCATGTACAGAATGGAGGGAGGAATGATAGCCTGAGATCCTGGGCCTGGCCTTCTAGGGAATCCTTGGCCTTACTTGTATTGAATGGAATGGGATTTCCAAAGCCCAGACCAGCTCTGAGGATGAGCAGTGGGGTTGCCCTGGGACACCTGTTTGGCAGTTGCTTAAAGCAGCATGTCACTGACCAGTGCCTGTGCAGAAGGTTCCCCAAGGTCCTGAACCTCTCTATCCATCCACTGGCTGGGAAAGAGAGAGAATTCAATGGGGAGAGCCCCATATTCCTATTTCCCTTGGAGTAGTTACTTGGTCTTTGGCTGGAGGGCCCTGCATGTTGATCTTTTCCCCCTACTTCTCCGAAAGAACTTTAAGCTCCTTGAAGGCAGGGTTAGCATATGACATCTTTGTATCCTCCACAATACTTAGCACAGGACTCTGAACAGAGGAGATGGTGTCTAAGGTCTATCTCTAGATCTATACTCCTACAGATCACCACTCAATGACTCCCTAAATTTATTTATTCCCTAAACACACTTTCTCAGTATTCTTCAGCTCCCTTTCTCCTGGGCTTCCTCCAATACTATCCTGAAATCTTCAAAGCTCTCTCATTCTTAAAACACCTTCAGTAGCCCCTGTCATCCCCTCTAGCTGTCATCCTTTAGCTCTCCTGTCTTTCTCAGACAAACTCCTTGAAAAAGCCATTTCCACAGGCTTCCTTTACCCAGTCTCTCTTCAGACCTTGAAGGTCTGGCCTCCAACATCATCAACTAAAACTACTCTCTCTGAAGTTGCCCATGGTCATTTCTCAGCCTTCAGCCCTCTGACGTCTCTGCTGTCTTTGACACTGTAGACCACCCTCTATTCCGAGAAGGCCACTCAGTCCATTGCTTCCTTTTCATTCCAATATCACTTCCCCTGTTTCAAGGAGATTGTGCCACCATCCCCACTTCTGAAGAATTGAGTTGGAGTCAATTCTGGGAAGTGATTTCATCCTGTTCCTTCTCAGTCATGTGCTGCCCATAAAGGCAGGGTCTGAGCCTGGGTGTCAGAACAGTCAGAACAGGCCTCCTGAGAGCTCTGGGTCTCCTCCTAACAAAGTGTTGTCTTCCCATCTCCAAGCACCATGGTCTCCTTGCCTGTCTTCTCCATCTTGATCATTTCCATTTCTGGCCTCTTCTACATATCTCCAGCAGGTGAGTAAAATCACTTTTTTCCTTTTGAATTGTGGAGAAAGAGACAGGAACCTGGGAGATGTACCAATCAAATGTTCTTGACAGCAGTTCCTGGCCTACTGCATGATTGGGAATGTTCCCTCTAGGGACCACTCTTTCCTTTCCATATAAAGAAGGAGAAAGGAATGCTTCTCTTGTTCTCCTCTAAATCCAAGTCTTTGGCTCTCAAGAAAGTGCCAAGAAAGGGACCAGTCAGTTCTTAGAACATGTGTGAGGGCAAAGGCTCTGCATACTCTGACCAGGGCCCAAGGTCCTCCTGGAAACAGGCTCAAGCTGCTCTGTGCCCTAGCAGAATCATGGGCAGGGGAAGGAAGGGAACAGCAGGGACATGGTTGAAGTGCTTTCCTTTGCCTGGAGGCAGGGACAGTGGGGTCAAAGAAAGACCTGAGATGAGACCCTGGCTCTGTTACTTCTTCCCCAGGTTACCTGGAGCAAGCCATTTCTCCTCTCTGTGCCCCAGTGTCCTTATCTGTAAAGCAGAGAGGTTTTACACATAGAAGACCCTAAAAGTCCCTTCCAATCCTCAATCTATCATCCAGTGACATCAAAGAAACATATGAAGACAAGATGGAGAAATCCTTCAGTAAGAACAAGGGATCATTGCTTTTTAAAATTGCTTTTGGTCCAAGGAAGGTGGCAGCTGTTTCCCAATGACATGAGACATTCAAACCCAGCAATGTACAGACTTGTCTTTAGTGACCTCACAGCAACCCTGAAATGGGACCAGAAGGATCATCCCTATTTCAACGCTGGGAGACAGAGTTTCAGAGGGGCTAAGTAACTTGTTCAAGGTCTCCCAGCCCTGAGACAGAGAGAGAGAGAGAGAGAGAGAGAGAGAGAGAGAGAGAGAGAGAGAGAGAGAGAGAAGAAAGAACCCTGGTTTTCCTACTTCTCAGTCAAGTTCTTTAGGCCCTCTGGGAGTGTGGCCAAAGACCCTTCCTGTCTCATGCATCTGGTCCCTCTCAGGAAATGTCTAAGGCCTTCCTGAATAATGGACCCTCCTCTTCTGGGGCATAAGATCCTGGGCCTAGCTCATACTAAACTTTCCCTGCCCACACCATCATGACCCAATCCACCAGGATAGCATCTGAGTGAAGGAAAAGAGAGATTGTTGGGAGAGGAGAGAAAAGGAGAAAAAGGGGACAGAATAACTGGAGTAGGAAGACAAGATTTAGGGGGAGGAAACAGTGGAGGTAGAGGAAAAAAAGAGGAGAGAAAAGGAGAAAAAAAGGATAGAATAATTGGAGTTGGAAGACAAGATGCAGGAGAAAGGAAATGAGGAAATAGGAGGAGTTAGGAGAAAAAGAAGAGGAAGAGGAGTGAACCTAGGGCTTCCAGATTCCTTCAGAAACATTGGGTCATCTCTTTTTTCACTGGCCTCCCTGGGATCAGGCAAATCAGGTGAGGCTGCTCAGACTCACCATGCCTGGTCCTCATTCTGCCCTTTTCTCTGCAGATGCCTTCCCAACCAGCTGCTGCTTCTCATACGTTACCAGGAAGGTTCCCAGACAGTTTGTGGTGGACTACGTTTACACAAGCGAGCTCTGTCTTAATCCAGGGGTCATGTGAGTAAACAGGTCTACAGACCACCTCTGGGTATGCAGGAGAAGGAAACAAGGAGAGAGAGGGTAGGAGTAGGAAGGGCTTAGCTGCCAGAAGCAGCCCTTCAGGGAAGCTAGATGGATGGCTGAGGCTGCAGTGAGGGTGGGTCTCACACCTCTGTGCCCCTCATAAGTGGAGGAGATATTTAAGAGGAGAGAAAGCCAAGGCTTGCTCCCCCCCCACTCCCTCCCCAAGAAAAAGACATGTTGCATTTGTTGTTTCCAGACGTTTTGGGGCTCATGCTCTGTCTGGGCACAGGGAAAGGGAGAGAACAGAGAAGTCTCTGCCCTGCAGGGACAATGGGCAGGATGAAGTGATTATAAATTTAGTGCTAGACTGGACCATAAGAGCCCCCTTATCTAACTGCCTCCCTTTCTTAAAGAAGAGGAAGCTGAGACCCGGAAAAGAGATGAGATTTGCCTAAAACCATAATGATAGTAAGAATAAGCAAGGAGAAAATACTGGATTTGAACCCATATCCTCTAACTCCAAATCTCATATTCTTTCTCCCTCCTCAACTGCTACTCAGTTTCAATGGGAGGATAAAGGTAGAGTGGGAAAGAAGAGAGGCCCATGGGGCTTCCTGAGGAGACCCCCAAGGAGGCACTTAGGGGGCAGACACAGGCATTGAGGTGTTAAGATTCTGCATGGACATGAAGGTCCTGAGTTTCAATAGCATGGGGAGGATAATAATAGAAAGACTGAAGGGCAACCTGGGGGAGGGGAAGCCTGGGGCTGGAATCTTCACCCTTTTTATCCTGCTTCTCATGTTTTAGTTTCACCACCAAGAAGGTCCGTAGGATCTGTGCCAACCCCCAAGAAGAGTGGGTCCAGAAGTACGTGTCCGAACTAACAGAAGGAAGACTCTGAGCAGGATGAATACCTTGACATTAATCCATGGGTAAATAGATATGTTGCAAAAATAAAAGTGTCTTGGACTACTTGGAACTCTGGATGTCAAAATAGATATTTATTGATAAGTCTTGTGTTTCCATCATCTACAGCTCTCAATTCCAATGTATCCCTCCCTCCCTACTCCACCTAATTTCTCTGATCTCATGACAGCCAATGAAAGAAGAAATGACTGCATTTCTTCTGGGAAAGAATCTAAAGGATCTAAGCCTACATCTTCTGTCCTCCTTTTCCTTGACTTCATATGTCTTTTCCACCTTTCGCTTCTCTTCTTGTCCTGATCCTTCCCTCCATCTCCTATTCCTCCTCTCTCTTCCTCTCTTAACAGTCCTCCTTTCCCTTCCCTCACATACTACCCGGGGGGATTGGGCTGTGAAGGAAGGTTCCATGTGGTCCATAACAGGACTGGGATTATATGCCCCTGTTGCAGAAGGTTCATCACCTAGACAGTCCTAGGCATTCCCTGAGGGAAACCCAATGCATCAAACAAGATTGGACAGCTTTGGTCACACCCAAGGGGGGACTGGAGAACTTGACTGGGAAGTGGGAAATCCAAGCTTCCTTCTTGTCTCCCCTTCTAGAGTCTTCCCTCAGAACAAAGAATTAAAAAGAGAGGGAGAAAGTATTTCAGAAAAGCTAATCACTGCACTAGAGAGGTCTATCTCTAAATCTATGCTCTTTCTACAGATCACCATTCAATGACTCCTATTCCCTAAACACACTTTCTCAGTATTCTTCAACTCCTTTTCTCCTGGGCTTCCTCCCATACTACCTTCAAATGCTCAAAACTCTCTCATTCTTTTTTTTTTTAGCCAAAGACAAGATTTATTAAAATATCCATCATATTGGGCAGACTCTTAAAGAGTCTGAACATTTGTGAGCTATTGGCTAGATTATAAGAATCTGAGCCTTTGGCTAGATTTCAAGAATCTAAGCATCTTAATGGAGACAAGATGGACCTTAATACAAAAAGACCACAGGAGGGATCTAGGAGTGGCCAAGTAGTCTGTGAGGTAATAGAACTCCAGGGACCTGGACCACAGTGGCCAAGGGAGAATAGGATTAAGGGTGGGAAGTAGCCTGGGGCCATAGGGATGTAAAACAATAGATGGCTAGGCTAGGTTAAGGGTAGGAGAATTGGGAGATTGGGTGAAGCCACAATGAAAGGCCAGTTGATGGGGTTATAGCCTCAGGTGAATGCCAGAGATTTGGCCATGAGGGATTTTCCTTTTGGGGGTCTAGATTCCATCCTCATCATTCCCCCTTCAAACAAATGGGACCCAAATTCTTTTGGAGTTAGGGGCGAAGGTCTCAGCTTCTGAAACTGCTTCCTGCTGGCAAGGGGCATAGAGTTGTCCCTGCCTTGAGGGAGTCCCAAAGAGGAGGTTGACTGGAACCGAGCACAGGCTGCATCCAGGGAACAATGGGGGGACATTGGCTGGTACCTGCTGTTTGCTACCAACTGTAGGTGAATGGCCCATAGTCTGGAAGATACAAATCTGACAGAAAAAACTGCAGGGCCCAGATATAGGGCCCAACTTTGAGAGGATAAAACATCCTTAGCTCTGTTTGGATTCAGATAATTCAATTTTTCAACCATGCGGTATCAAATCCAGCTCATAGCCAGGTGGGTAATACTTTTTCTAGTTTATCTTCTTCATTGTCTGGGATTCTCTCTTGTTACAAAGCCATAGAACGTTTGAGTTGGACAAGCCATCAGGTCCCCATCTAGTTTAACCCCCTCATTTTCTAGAAGAGCAACTCCTAAATGAGCTATGATTGGCCCAAAGTCACCTAGGATAAAGCTAGACCTGAAGTCCAGGTCTCCTGAAGGCTGCAAGCCCTTTTAGAGAGTAGAAGTAGAATCAATGAATGGAAGTCAAGAGGCAATTTTGATAAAGGGACAGGCTTCTTAACATTTGGAAGTATCCAAAAGACAAGTGGGCTATCTCAGAAAGAAGCAAGTTCTTCCTTATTGGAGGTCTTTCAGCAACAGCTGGAGGACTACTCGTTGGAGGTGTTGGGGAGGAAGGAAGGAAGGAAGGAAGGGAGAAAGAGAAGGGAGGGGAAAAGGGAAGAAAGAAATGAGCATTTATTAAGCACCTGATGCGGTTTAGAGATTCAGGGGTGCTGGGACCCCAAAATCATAATACACGGGTCCTATTGGCTAGATTATAAGAATCTGAGTCTTTGGCCAGATTTTAAGAATCTGAGCCAAAGTTTTCATTCTTAAAACACCTTTAGTAGCCCCTCTTATCCCCTCTAGCTATTGTCCTTTAGCTCTCCTGTCTTTCTCAAACTCCTTCAAAAAGCCATGTCCACTGGCTACCTTAACCCAGTCACTCTTCAGACCTTGAAAATCTGGCCTCCCACATCATCAGCTAAAACTACTCTCTCTGAAGTTGCCCATGGTCATTTCTCAGTCATCAGCCTTATGACTTCTCTGTTTCCTTTGACACTGTAGACCACCCTGTATTCCAGGAAAGTCACTCAGTCCATTGTTTCCTTTTCATTCCAATATCACTTCCCCTGTTTCAAGGAGATTGTGCCACCATCCCCACTTCTGAAGAATTGAGTTGGAGTCAATTCTGGGAAGTGATTTCATCCTGTTCCTTCTCAGTCATGTGCTGCAGAGTCTGAGCCTGGGTGTCAGGCCAGTCAGAACAGGCCTCCTGAAAGCTCTGGGTCTCCTCCTAAAAGTGTTATCTTCCCATCTCCGAGCACCATGGTTTCCTTGCCTGTCTTCTCCATCTTGATCATTTCCATTTCTGGCCTCTTTTACCTGTCTCTAACAGGTGGGTAAAATCACTTTTTTCCTTTTGAATTGTGGAGGAAGAGGCAGGCACATGGGAGCTGTAGCAATTAATTATTCTTGACAGAAGTTCCTGTCCTGCTGCATAGTTGCTAATGTTCCCTGTAGGGACCATTCTTTCCTTTCCATGTAAGGAAGGAGGGAGGAATGCTTCTCCTGTTCTCCTCTAAATCCAAGTCTTTGGCTCTCAAGAAAGTGGCAAGAGAGGGACCAAGCAGTTCTTAGAATATATGTGAGGGCATAGACCCTGCATACTCTGACCAGGGCCCAGGGGCTTCCTGGCACCAACCTCAGGCTGCTCTATGCCCTAGCAGAATCATGGGCAGGGGAAGGAGGGGACATGGGTGAAATGGCTTCCTTTGCCTGGAGGCAGGGACAGTGGGGTCAAAGAAGGGCCTGAGATGAGATCCTGGCTTTGTTACTTCTTCCCTGGAGCTTTCCTTCTTACATGGAGAAAGTCATTTCTCCTCTCTGTGCCTCAGTGTCCTTATCTGTAAAACAGAGATGTTTTACAGATAGAAGACCTTAAAAGTCTATTTCAGTCCTCAATTTATTATCCAGTGGCATCAAAGTGGCATCTTCCCCCAACAACTCTTTCCTTACTCCCTCACTCTTAGATGTGGCTTTCTCCTCCACTACCTCTATTGCCAAATCTTCTTCTACCTCTTCTTCTCATGTGAAAAACTGTATGTTTGAATTCATAAAACCTGAATTAAAATTTTCGGATCAAATACTTGGAACCATAAGAAACTGTTTATTCCTTCCCCCCTCATTTTACACGAAAGGAAATGAATGCTGGGGCAAGTGAAGTGATTTTCCCAAAGTCACAAATACAGGAAGCATCAGAAGAAGCATTCAAACCCATGTCCTTTGATTCCAGAGAAATCTGCCATAGCTATCTATAGCACCTTGTCTCAAAACCAGGCCCTGCTGGGGATCCCTGTGTGATCCCTGTTGAATCAATCCCCTTTTCTGGACCTTAGTTTACTCACAACTAAAATAATCTTTTAGAATCATAGATCCATTTCCATTTCAGAAGAATTGTTTCATATGTGCAGTGTGCCAAAAAGTCTTTGTATAGTTTTCTACTATGAAAAGCTTAAAACTGTTCTGAGACTTTTGGGACAATTTGTATGTATATGCACATGTCTTAGTATATTAGCTTCTATAGCTGAAGAAACAAAGAAATGGAGAGGTTAAGAGCATAGCCCATCAAGGGAATCATACCTTCTGCCTTTCTCCTTTACCAAATGATAAATAAAGAAATTTCTTTCTAAAACTAAAGAGAAAGACAGACAGACAGGGACAGAGACAGACAGACAAACAGGGAGAGAGAGAGAGAGATAGAGAGGCAGAGACAGAGAAAGACAGACAGACAGGAACAGAGATAGAGAGAGAAAGAGACAGGGACAGACAGAGGGAGAGACAGAGACAAAGAGTCAAAGTGAAAGACTGAGACAGAAAAATAGAAACAGATATTTGCTCATCCTCAGAAAGCTAGCCAGTGGCACAGAAGAGATTCAAACCCAGATTTTCTGACTCCAAATCCAAGGATCTGCCTATTTTATCACACACTCTCCTCAGTCCGTTTTGTTCTGGCTGTATAGGTTTGTCCCAAGGGATGAGGCAGGAATGGCTTTTCTATACTCTGAAATAATACCTGGTTTTGGGTAAGCTCTGACACATGGGTATTCAGTTCTAGGCAATTCAGTTCACCAAACTTAGATGAAATGCCTCTTACAAGCACTATACTGAGTGTTGGCACACACAAAAAAAAAGATAAAACCATCCAATGACTGCTCTCAAAGAATTTGCATCCTACTTAAATTACATCCTACTTAAAGGACACAACATGCACAGTTGAAAACACAAGGACATTTGAGAATGAGCCTTTACTAACAACTGGCCAGAGTGAGGAAAGCTTTAAGTAGGACATAGTACCTGAACCAAGCTCAAAAGGACACTAGAGAAGTCTCAGTTAAAATCCCACCTTCTACAGGAAGCCTTCCCCACCCCCTCTTAATTCCAGGGCCTTTCTTCAGTTAATTATCTCCTGTTTACTCTGTTTTCTCATCTCTAAAATGAGCTGGTAAAGGAATGACAAACCACTCCAGCATCTTCATCGAGAACACCCCAAAAATGGGATTGCAAAGAGTCAGACACAATTAAACAACAACAATAAAATGTATCCTGTACATAGCTTGTTTTGTTTGCATGTTGTCTCCACCATTAGACTGTAAGCTCCTTGAGGGCAAAGATTGCCTTTGCCTCTTTTTGTATCCCAGCTCTTAGCACAGTGCCTGACACATAGTAGGTGCTTAATAAATATTGCTTGATTAATCAATACACATGGGACAAGATTGGACAGCTTTGGTCACATCCCATAGTAAGTGCTCATTAAATATTGATCACATTGTATTGTGTTATCACAAGCTACCCAATAAGAAAGGAATTCATGGCCTAAAGGAAATCCCATGGGAATATAAAGGGATATGAGATGGAATGCTAACTTTAGGGACCAGCTTATTAGGTCAGTTCCTCTAGAATGGAGAGTGTGCAAAGGAGAGCAAAATGAGATGAATCTAGAAAGGCGGTTAGTCACTAATTTGTAGAGGGCTTTAAACACTGGAAGATCTGTGTTTTATCCTAAGGACTATAGGAAGCTCTGAAGACTTAAATGTATTTATTTCAGACCCAGACAAACCCAGCTAAGAAATAAACAAGAAAGAAATAGAGACCTGAATAGATTTAGAAAAGTAATATATGATAGCTCTCTAGTGATTGATGAATGGAAATAGAAAGAATATGCATGTATGTGTCTCAACTGTATATGACACTTTCACAAAAATTGACTGTACTAGGATATAAAATCTGATACACAAATCAGAAAAGCATAAACATTAAACATTCACTATAATAATAATGGTTTTCAACAAATGGCTTTGAATAAGGGATTCCAATCTAAAAGGAGACTAAATAATCTAAAACTAAAAAATGTGTGAGTCAGAGAACAAATCATAGGAACGACAGATAATTGCATGAAAATGATAACCAAAACTTGTAGGATTCAGTCAAAGCAGCTCTTAAGGTAAAGTTCATATTTCTATACATTTTAATCAATAAAAGAGAAAATGTACAAACCAATGAATTGGGCTTACAACTGAAAAAAATCTATAAAAACAAATCAAAAAATCCCAACTAAACACAGAAATATAAATTCTGAAAATCAGAGATTAACCAAAAAAAATATAATTAAAGTTATAATTGACAAAAAACTACAAGCTTTTGGGGGGGAAACTAATTTAAAAAAAGATGAAGCATTGGGTGATCTAATTTTTTTATAGGAGAGTAAAATCAAATTGCCAATATCAAAAATGAAAAAATAGGAATTTTCAACAAATGAAGAAACAAAAGAAATTATTTGGCCAATTATATAACAGCAAAACTGATGACAACTGAAATAGATGAATACTTACAAAATAATAATAATCCAGATGAATTGAACAAGAAATAGAAAATTTAAATAACTAAATTTCAGAAAAAGAAATTAAGCTATAAATGTGCTCCCCCACCAAAAAAAATGCCAGGACCACATGTATTTACAAATTAATTCTATTAAACATTTAAGAAACAATTCTTTTACAAAATATATACTAAAAGATATGTATAAGATACATGCAAAGTAGATATCATTATATCATATAATACATTGTATCATATAAAGCAAATATGATATTGATACATAAGTCAGGGAGGGATGAAACAGAATGAAAAAGAAACTATAGACTGACAGCCCTAATGAATATAGATACAAAAAGATTAAAAACTGTAGACTAACATACAAAAAGATTAAATAGAATGTCAGCAAAGAGGCCACAGCAATAAACTAGAAGGATCATACGTTATGATCAAGATAGATTTATATCAGTGCAAACATTAAGAAACCTTTAAGCAAAAATAATATGACATATAAATAGAAGCAGAAAAAGATTCTGACAAAAAAAAAATTCTGTTTCTGCTGCCCGACCTGTGGTAGAGCCTTCCGTCCGAGCTTATACTGGTCTGATCAGCCACAGTCGGACACACTGTACCTTGACCCCAATATAGTGATGTCATTTTGGTCCTCTTCAAGAAGGAAGAACAACCACCATTTCTGCTAAAGATATCATAAAGGGCAAGGATAGATGGGGATTGAGACTGGACCTCTGATTTCATTGACATTGGAAAATGCCAGATGAAGAAATTCCCTCTGCCAATATAAGTTGACAACTTTTCTTCAACTTACAGCTTTAAAAAGATGAACCATGGGAAGAAGACTTGCTCTTTTCACACAAGCATCATGTGTCAAAGGCAGGACATGAATTACAACCTGACTAGCTCTAAGCCAGTTTCCTCTCCACTACAACACAATTCTTCTTATAAAGAAATAAATGGACCTTCATGGTCAATAGCATCTATCTAAAACTAAGAATCAGTATTACATTAGCACAGTGCCTGGCACACAGTAAGCACTTTTAAAATGTTGATTGACTGATGGATTGATACATAATAGAGAAATGTGGGAGACCTTTCCAATGAGATCAGGGGTAAAATAGAAAGGACAGGGATAGGATAGCCAAAAAAAAAAAAGTTTTAAATTTGAAATAAGAATAAGAAAAACAAATTACATAGCAGTTACAAAACTATCTGGTACTGAGTAAAAAATAGAGAAATAAATCAATTAAATGAAATGGATACACTAGACATCTACCCACATATGTTTAAAAGATTAGTGTTTGATAAGCTGATAGAAAATACTAGCTAACTTTGTATGCCATTTTAGGTTTGCAAAGCACTTTATTTACTTTATCTCCATTGCTCCTCATGAGAAACTTATACGATAGGCAACAAGGAAACAAAACTATCACTTCTTACAGATGATATGATGCTATAGTTGTTGTTTCTCCTTCATTCTCAAAGAGAACCATGACATCAGGAGGAGGAGGATGTCTTGATCTGCAAGTGAATTAGATTTAAATGAGGGAGGGCTGTCCAAAGTCACCAGCCTCACTTCCTCCTCCAGACCCATCTGAGTCCAGCAGCAAGAGACAGATCAGGATGATTGGAGATGGTCCTGAATGCAGTGAGACACCATGGCCTTTTTAAGCTAAGGTCCTTAGCGGGTCTCAGTTTGATTGAGGCAATGTCTATCTAGTGATTAATGCTAGGTAAGAAATAAGGCAAAGAATGGCCTCTTTTACCTATTCCAATACACACACACACACACACACACACATACATATACATATATGTGTACACATACATATGTATACACACATGTACATATCTGGGAGGGGAGGATCCTCAGGGTTTCTGGCCAAAACAAAAACAATTGCTATTTACATTCACTCTGAGCAATCAAGGCCCAAACAATGACCCCATGGGCTTGGACTGGCACCTGTTATTGGCTTATCAATGAGAGCCAGCAGAGAGAATTTGCAGAGAAAGAATTGATGATCTCTAAGTGCAGACTGAAACATATTTTTCCTTTCTTCATTTTTATTTTCTTTCTCAGCATGGCTAATGTAAAAATAAGTTTTACATTCCTTCCAAAGAAAATTCATATCCACCTCCCCATCCCCCAAAAAAGAAAGAAACTGGTGAGGTAAGTAGTATGGCTATTATTATTCCCATTTTGTAGATGAGGAAACTGATGTTCAGAGTGGTAAAGCAACGGGCCCAGGGTGTCCCATCCAGTAGGTATCTGAGGGAAGATTCCAACCCAGATCTTCCTGACTCAAACCCATCACTCTATCTACCATCCCACCATTCCCTCCACTACAATACCATGGAATAGAGTCAAAGCATATCCAAATTCTAAAACAGCTTCTAAGGCTAAGAGAGTCACCTTCAGCCTTCCCTATTCATGGACCCCTCCTGAAAGAGGGTCTCATATTTAGGGGATTGAGCAAATCTCCATTAGCAATAGAAATGTATGCGTGTTTATGAGGGGAGAGGGAAGGCTGGGGTGCATGACCCCAGGTACTTTCTACATCAGTAAATCCTGAATCATAACTCCATCCTCTGTTCCCTGTTTTGTCCAAATCTTAGTTCCGTTTTTTTTTTCAGACAAATCGTGCAACTCAACATTTTCAAGAATGTGTTTTTATCCAGGCTAAGGGTGCTTTCTCATCTTTTTTCCTTCTCAGTCATCAAGTGCATATAAAGGGAGGGTCCACGCCCAGGGTTGCCAAGCAGTGGGCATCCTGCAAACTCTAAGTCTATTCCTGAAAGTGTTCTCCTCCTATGTCCAAGGACCATGGTCTCCTTGGTGGTCCTCTCCATCCTCATCATCTTGGTAGCAGGCCTGTGCTTTGAACCCAAGCATGGTGAGTCCAATTATTTTCTTTGCTTTTGGCCTTCCATTTCTTGGCCTTGCTGAGAAATTGAAAGGCGAGCCCTTCCTCCCTTTCTATCCAGGGTGGACAGGAGCTTCTTCTGCTGCCCCACTCAAAATCCATCCTTCTGACTGCTTATAAAGTGGCATGAAACGCACCTGCCTATTTTCAGAGCACATGGGAAGACATGTCCATGTGTCCTTCCCAAGGTGGGAAATCATAGCCCTTGAATGCTGTGACCCCGGAAAGGAAACCCTGACTTCCCTAGCTTCCTTCAAGTCCTAACCTTTCCTAACTCCTCGTAATTCTAGTGCCTTCCCTCTGTTGATTATTTCCAGTCTTGTCTATAGTTTGCTTGTACTTGGTTATGTGCATGTTGTTTCCCCCATAAGACTGCAGACTTCTTGAAGGCAAGAACCATTTTTTGCCTTTGTCTTTTTCATCCTTACCTGACATATGGTAGGCATTAATATATGCTTATTGACTCACTGACTGAGTAACTGACCGAGAGGCTCAGGCTTTTCAGGGCTGCCCTAACACAAGCATGGGTAGGGGAAGGAGAGGAACAGCAAGGACGTGGTTCCAGTGCAGTGTCACCCATGGTAAGTCCTTGAGCCTCAGTTTCTTCATCTGTAAAATGAGAATAATAATCCCTATACTACTTACCTCATAGGGCTGTGATAAAAAACTAAACTAGGTTATATCTGTGTAAGTGCTTTGTTGATTATTAAAACTTTTAAATTGCCAGTATATCTCCAAACTTCCAGTGGACTTAAGATCTCATTGATGTGAATGGACACTCCCTCCATTGAGGAGACATCAGCCCATTCATGCTTTCTCATCCTAAAGGACTCTTGTCCATGCCTTCCCATAAATCCACTCCCGAAGTACTTAGAGACTTTCTCAACTGGATACCTATGGAGCACCCAGGCTGAATTGTCTTCAGGAAATCACAAGGTTCTAAGAGCCCCAAACTTTTATAAAACCAGTATTCTTCAGGAAGATCTGACTTTGAGTCCTGCTTCTGACCCATATTATCTGTACACCAATAAACAATTCATTTTTCTTCTCAGTTACCCTGGCAACTCCAAGACTCTAAGCAAGACCAGTGTTGATCTACCTTGGTGGAGGGAATTTCCATACTAGGATGCTTACACCCCAATTGAAGGATTCCAACCCAAAAGATCATTCTTCCAATCATTTTGCCTGTCTGTGAGACATGTAACACTAAAGTCTCTGAAGAACTGAGACCTAAGGACAGTGGAGAGGTACATGGTGGGCATGAATAAGCAGCAACATATTATGGCATGGCACACAATTATGACAAAGAAGTAAGGAGAGATAGCCTAGTATAGTGAAAAGAGCCCTAGCTCTAGATTAAGAGGGTCTATGATACTTGGAGTAAATGACCTCAAAGATTCCTTCCATTTCTACATCTAGGTTCCTATGTCATCAGAAAAAGTGAAGACTAGTTTTAAAAAAAAAAAAAGGTATTACATAAGAAGAGCACAAAATAACCAATGTCAACTTAAAAATATTTAAAAGCATTTATTAAGCACCTGCTATGGGGAAACTAAGTGGCGCAGTGGATAGAGCACCGGCCCTGGAGTCAGGAGGACCTGAGTTCAAATCCAGTCTCCTAGCTATGTGACTCTGGGCAAGGCATTTAACCCCAATTGTCTCTCTCATAAAAGGAGGGGGGGAGCATCTACTACGTGCCAGGCACTGTTCTAGGAGCTAGGATCGCAAATGGGACGAAAAAAATACCCAGATGAACCATATTCCTAGGGAAAGAACAATTGGATTAGAACAAGCCAATGTCAAAGATTTTTGAAATATTGTTGAGAATGGCAAAAGGTAAATGGGAGGTGGCAGCCTGTCTCCCAATGACAGCAGGTACTCAAACTCAACAATGTACAAATCTGTTCTCATAACATTACTGGGATGGGGCTGGGATTATTTCTTTTGCTTTGGTCTTTGTATCTTCACCACTTAGCACAGTGTCTGTTACATAGTAAGCAAACAAATTCTTGTTGATTGATTGAGTGACTTATGTCCTCCAGATTCATCCCCAAATACTGAGGAGCCATTTCTTCCTTTGATGCCTTTCTCAGGAGTCAAAAGAATCATCTGAGGATCACCTAGATTCAGAATGACCGTGTCTTCACTTTGCTCCTTCTCTTACACACAGACATGACACCCCAAAGGACTGCTGCTTCCACTATTCCTCTTGCAAGATTCCCAGTGTAGTTGCTTGTTATGAGACCAGCAGCTGGTGCCCCAAGCCAGGAGTCATGTGAGTGGTATTTCCACATCCCACATCTGGGGAAAAGAGAAGCAGAGCTTCTGGAGAGAAGCCAGGAAGGTCTTGGGAAGGAGAAGGCCGGATAATCGATAGAGGTTAGAGAAAGATGGTTCATAGAATTTTGTGCCCCTGCTAAGTTTGGGAGTTACGGAAAAGGAATGCACACCAAAACTCCTAGACAAAATAAGCTCTACTTATTGTGCCCAGAGGCTTTGAGGCTGGCGTTGGGGCTGGAAAGAGAGAGCTGACAAAGAGCCCCTTTGGCTTTGGACCTGAGCTGGACCCTATGTAAGAATGATAGAAACGTTGATTTAGACCCAGAAGGGAACTCAATGGCCAATTTCAAACATGAGAGGAATGAGACTCAGGGTTGGAGAATCTTGTCCAAGGTCACAGGTAGTAAGAGACAGTGGCTAGATTTGAATCGAGGTCTTCTAACTCCAAACCTTTCTCACAGGGCATGTCTTCCACTCAGCCTCCAAATAGGATCTGCTCCTATTGAAAAGGGAAGAGGAGAGAGAAGAGGAAGGAGAGACCAGAAGGGTTTTCTCAAGGAATCCCCATGGAGTTATAGAGAGAATAGAAGTAGGGATTAAGGAAGGGTCTTGAAACACTGTACGAAGATGATAGGCATGGATAAAGGGAAGTCTGTGAGCTCTTTTGGGGAAGAGAAGCCCAGAGCTGAATTCTTTGTCTCCTCTATCCTTTTTTTTTCTTTTTTTTCCCTCTATCCTTCTTCTTCTTGAACTACAGGGTCATCACCAAGACACAGCGCCAGTTCTGTGTCCACCCAAGGAATGTCACAAACTGTGGCATTTCCCTACTACCAGAGAAAGTCCTAGAGATGGAAATCTTCTAGAAGATTATGGAATACCATTCTCAGATAACACCTCCCTATATATGCATATGATTTCTCAAAAATAAACTTACATTGGACTTAATAGGACTCAATTTGGTTTTTATCTGTATGTCTGAAAAAAATCAAGGTCTCTGCCTGTTAAGGATAGAGATGTTAGGGAAACACAACTAGATGGAAAAGGGAGAGAAGTCTGAACCCCTGAACACCCTGTCCTGTGTGTCCCAGGCTCCCCTCAGTAAGCCTTTGCTTTGTGCTGTGTATGGAAGGATACATAACTCCTAATTGATGGCGAGAATGCTGAGCCAATGCCACGTGCTTGTATAAAGGGTAGAGTTGGGTCAGGGCTTCACGGGAAGGAGACATGGGTGGTTCCGGAGACTTTTTAGGAGACACAGGTAAGATTTTCTTGGCAAAGATCCCGGGTTTGCCATTTCCTCCTCCAGCACATTTCACAGATGAGGAAACTGAAGCAAACAGGCTTAAGTGACTCTCCCAAGGTCATACAGCTAGTAAATGTTTGAGGTCAGATCTGAACTCAGGACTTCCTGATTCTAGGCCCAGAACTCTGTCCACTGAGCCACCTAGCTGCTCAATTCAGAATCAGAAGACCTAGACTTAAATCCCTGCTCTGCTCCTCACTAGTTATGTGACCAGTAAGCTGCTTGCCTTCCTCCCCTTTAAAATAAAGGGTGGGAGTAATGAACTTGAAGTAACTTCCATCTCAAGAGCCAAGATTCATTGGCTAAATAGGTCAGGCTTCTTAGGAACTTGTCTTTGTATGCAAGAATCAGACAGGACCACCTTAGAAGATCAGACATTCTAGAAGTCACCTGATTTGGCTAAGGACTTACAGAAAATCAATAGCCTAGAAAGCCTAGCCCAATATAGAAGAAATAAGTTCATGATTACAGAATCTGAGAATTTTAAGAGACCTCAGAGACCATCTTGTCCCACCCTTTCTCATCAAGAATATTAACTACAATATTCCCAACAAGGACTACAGTTTTTCTCTGAAGAGCTCCATCAAAGGGAAACGCACCACTCTATGAGATATACCCCTCCACTTTGGAATAGCTCCAATTATTAAGAAGCTTGTCCCTTATATCAAACATAAATTTACCTCCTTGAAAATGTAGCACCAACTCCAGGATCACTTCCTTGACTCACTCTGGCTCTGGTAGACTGTATCCCCAGAAAGGCAATAGTTACCCCAAGTTCTAGAGGTAATCCTATATGTGACTATTCCTAACCTTACAGCTAATGAGCTCTCATCATTGTATTTCCCCTTAACAATCAGCCAGCAGACTCAAATAGCTTTTAGAAAAGGCATTTACTCAGATGGCCTAGCAAGAAGAATGGTTATGAAGGCTAACAAATCTGGGAGCACTGTCATCCAGAATCAGCAGAGATCTGGGGAGAGGGGTGGAGTCAAGGAAGAGCAGTCACAAAATTAAAGTACAATGGTAGTGAAGCGCAATGGGGAATACACATGGCCAATGCAACTCACAACTCTGGAATAGTAGGAGCTTGACATTCCTTCTCTAGAAAGTTCACTGCAAGGGAGGGTGTTAATGATGTACAAATCACTTTCCTGTGACACTAAGATGGTTCTTCATGGAAAGCAGTGTCTCAGCTAGATGGGCTGATCCACTGCTGGGGTGGGCCAAGCAGGTTGTTCAGCTGTTGAACCAAAACATCACTTGGCTCTGCTGCTGCTGCTGCTGGGATGGACCAGGGAGGCAGTTTGTCTGCTCAGCAGAGCTGCTGCAGGTGGGGGCACAGCTGGTCATTTGCCTGCTGAATCGCAGCTGCCACACTAGTCTGAGCATTCCTAGGATCTCTTCAGAGGACGTGGTGTCTCTGATGAGCTGCGGGCCTCCCTGGGCTCACTCTTCAGTGGGCAGCTGCAGGCTCTACCTCCTCCAACCTCCTACTGGGCTGGGAGTTACCATGTGCCTCTCAGCTAGAGTACCACTTTGCTGTTTCAGTAAGGGCAACCACACTTAGCCTGGAATTAACAGAAGCCTTGGGCCTCATCTCTGAGGTCTGTCGCCTCTGAGCAGCAGGTGGTGGAAAAGATCAAGCCTCTCCTTGTCACAGCGTTCTTCACCTTGACTGATTGCAACAGACAGAACGCTTAAGTTGGCAATAAAAATAAGCTCTGGAACGATCAAGACTCTAAACCCACTACCCGGGCTTTAGGATTCCTCTATGTCTCCTTTCCCTTCCACCTCCTAGAGTTCTTGATTTACAGTGAAGGAGGTGGCTTTGCTCTGGACAGAGCTGCCGTTTTGGTCTTCCTGCTCAAAATCTGCCTCTCATGTCAGGTCAGGATTCCTTTGGGTTATGGAAGCCAGCTATGTACTGTCCCAAATTCATCATCTTTGCTGCTTCTAATCACACATAGTTAAGTAATCCAAGCCTCAGACCCTTTCTGGGACATGGAATGTTTGCTTAACATCCAAAAAGACTTCATTATTTTTCAATGCCTTCGTACTGTTTCTCATTACCTTCTGAAGTCTAAACGGGGCACACTTTTTCACGACTTTCACGTACTGTCCTGGGAGAGCCAGAAAACTTGCAAGAACCAAGTCTAAACTCCCCATGTGACCTTGAACAAGTCACAGGCCTTTCTGAACCTCATTTTCCTAATCCATAAAAAGAAAGGTTTGGACTGGATGGCCCCTAATGGCCCTCCTCACTTGAACATTCTATGATTCTGGAGAAAGAGACCCAAGTAACAGAAACATGACATGAAATAGAAAAAGGAAAATCTCTAGTAAAAATTAAGAAAGCAAGGGATTGCCCCATAGAGATTCACATTTCCATGGGGTCTCCTGCTGATTCTGTGCTCATAGGAGCAACTGACTAAAACTTTGGGGAAGAAGAGAAAGGGGGCAGGAAGCTGAGCCAATCGGGACTTTCTCAAGAGAGTCCTTCAGCCAGCATGTCCTGTGTTCTTTTATTTGTCACCAAATATCTGGTCACTCTCATAATAATAATAATGCCAATTTCATTAATTTATTGAAGAAAAATTCATTAAGCTCCTACTATGTGTCAGGCATTATGGAAAGCTCTGTGGGTATAAAGACAAAAACAAAGTATGTGAGAGTAGAGGATTATCATCTCTTAGTAAATGGCTCTTCCTCCACTGGGTTTCTCCTCATCAAGTATTTCCTCTCCCCAATTCATCCCCCATACAGTTACCCCAGTGCTAGTCCTAAATTTCTGACCATGTCAGTAGCTTTTTCAATAAATTCCACTGGCTCCCTAATCTGACTGCAACCTACTTTTCCAGACTTATTCTATATTACTCCCCATCTTACACTATACAGTGCAGCCAAATTGGCCTTCAGCTATTCCTCACAAAAAGTATTCCAACTCCCATCTCCTACCTTTACATAGATTGTCCCTCATGCCTGGAATGGACTCTATTTTCACATACACCTTGTTTTCTTTAAATCTTTTGTTTCATTCAAAGCTCAGTTCAAGTTCCATGTGAAGATTTTCCTAATCCCCCAAGCTGCTACCACTTCACCCTATAAATTAATTTGTATCCATTTTGCATGTCCTTAAAGATGTATATCAGGGGCAGCTAGGTGGCACAGTGGTTAGAGCACAGGCCTGGAAGTCAGAAGGACCAGAGTTCAAATCCAGCCTCATACCAAACACTTGACATTTACTAGCTGTGTCACCCTGGGCAAGTCACTTAACCCCAATTGCCTAAAAATAAAAATTTTAAATAAAAAGATGTATATTAGTGGTTATCAATTTTTTTTTCATCCATGGTACAGTATTTTATACCATGAGGAATTGCAACATCTACAGAACACTTAAGTTGGCAACAAAGATAAGTTCTAAGACAATCAGGACTCCAAACCCATTGCTTGGGCCTTGGGATTCCTCTACGTCTCCTTTCCTTCCCACCTCCTACAGTTCTTGACTTACAACAGAGGAAGTGTCTTTGACATGGACAGAGCTGCCATTTGACCTCAAAATGAGAAGAATAGGTAATAAAGTGTCCCTTATCTTGTTTGGCTTTGATGGTTCATCACATTCATTGGAATTATGATCCCTTCACTCCTGGCATCTGCCTGGATAGGGCAGATATCTGACTCCAGAAATGGTGAATGGGCTGCATCCCAGAGTTCACCACTTTAGTAAGGTCATTTTGAACATGACTCTAGGAGACTCATGGGAGAGAGAAACAGGAAAAGAGTTGTCCATCTTGTGCATGTTATGGAGGACGTAGGTGAATATTACATCTGATCTCTGTCTGTATGCTCCTCTGTCCTCTCTCTCCCTCTGAAACATCGGTAGTTCCTGCTCTCCACCCCACCCCCCCATTTAGGAGAAGAAGAGACAAAAGATAGGGAGATTTAACTGCTCTCCACTTTTCTCCAATTAGAGAGATCTGGGGGGTGGGGGAGGGTTTGCAACATTTACTGAAAGAAAAAAGGTTTGAGAGTTGGGGAAAAGGTTAAATTGACAAGATTTGGCAACCGATTGGATATGCAGAGTGACAAAGGAAAATTTGAGGATAGCTAAAGGTGGGAACCTGAGGGATGGGGAGGATGGTGATGCCCTTGATAGAAATAGAGAAATCCTGAAGGGTCAGAATGTGGCTATGAGGAAAAGAAAATGACACAGGTCAGTTTGGCATTTGAGAAGAGGCCAACTGGAACAGAAATCAGAAAATGATCACATAAGAGGAAGTGAAAGGACCCAGGGTGAGTCAGGCTAAGATGTCAGAGGTTAGACTACCACCAACACCACACCCAATAGCTAACTTTCATACAGCATTTTAAGATTTGTAAAGCACCTTGTGTATATTAGCTCTTTTCATCCTCCCTCACAAGAACCCTATGAGCTAGGAAGTATGTGTTCCTATTATCTCCATTTTGCTGATGAGTAAACTGAGGCTAAGTAAGGGTAAGTGATTTGCTTGCAGTCACCAGCTAGGACATAATTGAAAGGGGATTACGATTCAAGTCTTCATGATTCAGCCTCAAAATGCTTCTACTTCTCCATACTCTCCTCTGCCTCTCTCTGGAATGGTCAGAAAGCATGCCCAAATTCTAATATTTTAAGCCTTAAACTGAGACTGTTCCCCTCAGCCAGTGATATGCTGGAGCCAGCTATTCTGGGCTCCTGAAAGCCAATTGCTAAATTTCAGTGTGAGCATTTATACTTTCTAAAATTGGCAAACACTATAAATTAGGGCTTGATTTATTGTTTTATTTATTTCTAAACTTAAGAAAGTGAGAGAGAAAAGATTAGAAATGTGTCCTTCATACATTTTTTTTGGAGAACTAGTTGTTAAACATTTACTAGCTCATCTCTGACTTAGTGCATTCTATTCATGGCCCACTTCTGAGAAAGGTCTCATTCTGAGGGGATTCAAATTTTAAAGATGGAGGAAAGGGCACACACACACACACACTCATTCATTCATTCCCCCATGATTTGATCTAGACGTGTCCAGATCTGGAAATCCAGAGTCATCACTTAGTTCTTCTACTTCCTCATTCATTCTAATCTCACTTCCCTTATTTTAGAAAAATTGTGCCTCCATCAGTACTTTCAAAGAACCACATCTTGTTCCTACCTAGTTTGGGAAGGTTTTCTCACCCTGTTCCTTCTGGTCCATTACCATCTATAAAGAGGAGGATCCCCACCTACACTTCAGAGCTGTCAAAACAAACATACTGGGAACTCTGGGAATGCTCTTGCAAGGGCTCTCCTCCCATCTCCAAGGACCATGGTCTCTTTGGCTGTCCTCTTCATCCTCATCATTCCAGTACCTGGTTTCTGCTTTGAAACTGAGCAGTCTGGTGAGTCTGATTACTTCCTTTCCTTTTGACCAGCTCTTTGTGAAGAAAAAGCCAGGAATGTCAGGGACTAATCATGAACATGAGACCTGTGGCAATCATCCATGCCAAAACTACCTGGGCTGCTACGAATTTAGGATTGTTCTCAAGGGATTTTCTCCTCCCTTTCCGTTCTGAGAGAGTAGGGGATTCTTCTGCTGCTTCCCCCTAAATACAGCTCTTTGGATCTTGGGAAAACAGCATGAGACGGACTAGCCCACCCCGGGGAACGTGTGAGGAGTTGCCCTTTATATATTTCCCAACATGGGAGAGTGTAACCCCTGGAGACTCTGACCAGGGATCAAGGGTGCGGACTCAGGGTGCTCTGGGCTGACCAGCACCCTGAGTTTGAGTCCCAGCACCGTCACTTACTAGCTGTGTGACTCATGCTAAGTTTCTCTGAAGCTCAGTCTTCTCATCTGTAAAATGGAGGTAATAAGAATTCTCCACACTACCCGCTTCATTGTGTGTGGAAAAGATTAAGTGAAATGAGATAGCAGATTATTAAGCACTTACTAAGTGTCAGGCACTGGGTTAGGTGCTGGGTAAACAAATACAAATAAGACAGTCCCTGCCCTCAAAGAGTTTACCTACTAATGAGGGAAGACAACACCTAGAGAGGTGCTGTTGTTAAGTCTTTTTCAGCTGTGTCTGATTCTCCATGAACCCATTTGGGGTTTTCTTGGCAGAGATACTAGAGTGGTGTGCTACTTCCTTCTCCAGCTCTTTTTACAGATGAGGAAATGGAGGCAAACAGGGTTAAGTGACTTGACCAAGGTCACATGGCTAACAAGTGTTTTAAGCCAGATTTCAACTCAGGAAGATGAATGAGTCTTCCTGACTCCAGGCCCAGCACTTTATCCATTGAGCCCCCTAGCTATGAAACAGGAAAGGAAAATAAGACGTTCAGAGGGATGTGATGAGATGACCAGGAAGTAATTCTGTGAAAGAATCTCATAAACTTCAAAACTTGAAATGCATATTCAATACTCCAATGAAACTGTGATCTCCATGATGCAGGCCCTCTTTCTAATGAAGAAGACCACAATCCATCCATGCCTGCTTGTCCTTTGTGACTCTTGGCCATATCCTCCCATAGATCTACCACAAAGGAGTATACCCAAAGTACTAGGAGCCTATATCTATTAATAAAGCATATAGACTTGGTCGCCTTGCAGACACAGCACACTTTAAAAATAGCTACCATTTACATAGTACTTAGAGTTTGCTAAGAGCTTTTTAGACTATCTCATTTGATCCTCACAATAATAACCCACAGAAGCTGGATGCTATTATTAGCCTCATTTTACAGATGAGGAAACTGAGGCAAACAGAAATTAAATAACTTGCCCAGGGCCACACAGCTGGGAAGTGTCTTAGACCAGATCTGAACTCCAAAGTTCTCCATGAAATGAGGGTCGATCTTTTTTGTGACAAGATTCTTCAGGAAAACCTGTGTTCAAGCTGACATACACTAGCTATATGATTATGGGCAAGTTATTTGACTTTTCACAGGCCCAGAGAGATTGTAACCTGTCCAAAGTCACAAAGATAGTAAGTGACAAAGTTGGCATTTTCAACCAGTTTTGCCCACTTCTAATCTAGTATTCTTTCAACTGGATTGTAGTCCCATTTTACAGATTAGAACACAAAAAGAGAACGACTTGCCCAAGATGATATAACTCTCAAGGATTAGAGACCCAATCAAGTCCTATAGTTTTCCTATCTCCAAGTCAAGTCCTCTCAGGGAATGTTCAAGATACTTCTGATGAAACAGACAAGAAAAGGTTCTTATAGTGGAGGGGAAACAGGGGAAGGTGAGAGGAAAATGAGGGAATCTTATTCTCATAGGAATTGGCTTAAGGAGGGAATAACATACACACTCAATTGGGTATAGAAATCTGTCTTACCCTACAGGAAAATAGGGGAGGAAGGGGACAAGAGAGCAGGGGGATGATAGAGAGAAGGGTAGATTGGGAAAGGGTAATCAGAAGGAAATATTTCTGAGGAGGGACAGGGTCAAAAGAAAGAATAGAATAAATGGGGGAGGCAGGATAGGATTAAGGGAAATAGAGTTAGTTTTTCACAACATGTCTACTATGGAAGTGTTTTGCATAACTGTACATGTATGGCCCGTATTGAGTTGCTTGCCTTTTCAATGAGGGTGGGTGGGTGGGAGGAAGGGAGAAAATTTGGAACCCAAAGTTTTAAAAACACATGTTTAAAAAAAATGTTTCCACATGCAACAGGGAAATAAGAAATACAGGAAATGAGGTACAGACATCTATCCTGCCCTACAGGAAAATAGAAGGGGAAGGGGATAAGAGAAGGGGGGGGAGATAGAAGGGAGGGCAGACTAGGGGAAGGGGTATTCAGAATGCATGCCATCTTGAGGGGGGCAAGATGGGGTGAAAATTTGGAATTCAAAATCTTGTGGAAGTAAATGTTGAAAACTAAAAAATAAATAAATTTATATTTTTTAAAAAAAGGGACTTCTGATGGACCCTCCTCTAATAGTGGGCCTGTTATGGTCCACATTGAACCTCTAGTCCCCTTTACCAGAGCATCACAGTTCAATCTCCTGGAGAAAGAGAAAGGAATTGTTGGGAAAGGAGGAGAGGAAAAAGGGAAATAAAATTAGGGAGGAGATGAAGGAGGTAGAGGAAGAGAAGGGAGAAATGTGGGCCTTGGTCTTCCCAATTCTTTCCTACAAGGAATGCAGAACCATCTCTTCCTTCACTGACTGTCTCAGGAGCTAGAAGAATCAGGTGGCACTCACTGGATTCAGGGTGTTACATCCTCATGTCATCTCTTTCCTTACAGTTAAATATGACATTCCAAATGCCTGCTGCCACGCTTATGTCCGCCGCCAGATCCCATACAGCCTCGTCGTAGACTTCTATGAGACCAGCAGCCATTGCTTAAAGCCAGGCATCATGTGAGTGGCACTTCCACAGCCTCTATCTGGAGAAAAGGAGATGAGGAGTGTGCAGGGAGGAGTAAGGAAGGATTCAGGAGGGAGAAGCAGTACCTCAGGGAGGTCAGATGGTTAACTGAGGTTGAACTTTGTGCCCCTGTTAATTCATTCAGTCAATAAGCATTTATTGAGTGCCTACTATGTGCCAAGCACTGTGCTGAGTGCTGGGTATACAAAGAAAGTCAAAATATAGTTCCTGCCCTCAGGAAGCTCATAGTCTAATGGGGGAGACTGAATTGATCATCAATTTATGCAAGTATGATATAGGGGCAGAAACACCTGGTTCTTTGGGTACTTGCCAGGAAAGACCATGACTGGCAGTGAGAAACAGAGTGGCAATCACACTTCATTTAAACAGAGGGAGCAAAAAGCACAGAAAAACAGAGGCAAGTGATAAAAGAGGTACAGAGGTAAACAGTATGGGAATAGGAGAAGGGATGGTGAAGTGAAGCAGGCAGTGTGGGGGAGAGCATGAGGAGGGGGAGAGGCAGAGAGAATCACCCACATAACATTGGGTTAGAGTTGGGAGCACCAGGCAACATAGACCCAGTGGAAAGGGAAGACGACTTGGGAAGAGGTGGGCAGGAGTTTCGAGGTCTCATTTTTATAGGGTTTTTTAGGGAAACAGACTAACTCCTTTCTTTGCCAACTTGGGGTTAGTTCATTAAAATACACAAATCATCTCAAAGTTATTGGTAAAACTTCAACGTTATATCTCAAAGTCAACAACACCTTTTTGACGTTCTGCTGGTCTGGAGCTGTGGAGGTCTGAATTTCACCTGGAATTTACATAACAGAGGATGAGAACTTTAACAGATATCCTAGCTGGTTTCCCCTGATTTGGTACATATTACCAGGATGTGAATTTTAGTTAATATAAGATAAAATTTGTAAATTATGGTCTTTGATCCTTGGGACAGTTTGTATGTGACTTTCGGGTTTCCCGTCGGAATCTGATTTTCTGGTATTACCCCTTTATACTGACTCCCTATAAAATTTACTATACTGACAGGGTTGGGTTGGGGGTGCGGGAGTCAAGGGGACCAGAACAAGATATAATTTTAACATTTATGCGGACAAATTTGAATAAAGTAGCAATTTGCAAGATAAGTAGAAAATAATCAACAGAGGGAAGACACTAGAAGTAAAAAGGATTGCAGGAGTGATGGAGGAGCAATGCATACCAGGACTCCAGGACAAAATAACCTCTACCTATTGTCTTCAATGGTCTTGGGGCTGGTGATAATGCTACATATCAGAGAGAGAGAAAGAGCTGGGGAGATCTCCCATGGTTTCTGACCTGGGCTCTGCAGAGGGACAGACAAGATGACAAGATCCTTGACCTAGAATAGAAATGGACCTTAGAAATCATGTTGTCCGACCCCTTCATTTAACAGATGGAGAAACTAAACCCCAAGCAGTGAGGGTGACTTACCCTAGGTCTCTCAGAGAATAGGTAGCAGAGCCTGGATATGAAATAAGATCCTCTAAGTCCAAATGGAACCTTTTGTCTCCTCCTACAGCTGTCTCTCAAATTCCAGTGTGAGCCTCTCCCACTGGATAGTGAAGGAGGAGAGAGCAGAAAAAGTAAAGACCAGGAGGATTCCCATGGAGTCACTGAAGGAGGAGGAGGAGGAGGAAGGAGAGGAGGAGGATAACTAGCATTTTTATAATTCTCTAAGGTTTACAAAGTGATTTACACATGTCCTCTGATTTAATCATCGCCGCTCTAGGAAGTAGATGATTTTATACTCCATTTTACAGTTGAAGAAACTAAGGTCAGTGTCACTTCCCCAGGGTCACACAACTAGTAAGTATCAAAGGCAAGATCTGAACATAGCACTTCCTCACTTTATGTGCACTTTATGCATACTGCCACCTGGCAATTTAAGCAAGGTCTTAAAGTTTTGTGTAGAGACAATAGTTATGGGAAGTAGAAAGGCCTGCAAGCTCTCTTGGGGAAGGAATCGTGATGCTAAATTCTTTATTCTTTCTTTTGCTTCTCATACTCCAGCTTCCTCACCAATAAAGATCACCAGGTCTGTGCCAACCCCAGAAGTGAGTGGGTACAGTTGTACATCTTCAGTCTGAAACAGAAGAAAAAGACTGAAGAGTACCACTCCCAGATAAAACATTTCTACAGTAGTGTTAAACTTTCTCCACCTGAAGAATAAATATGGTTTCCAAAATAAAGCTGTCTTATGACCTCTTCACCATCCTCCTCCATGCAACCCCCCAATGTCCTTCCTACTGCTTGGATCTAGTTCAACCAAGGTGGCTTCTGCTCCAAACCCCTCTTCATCCCAGAATTCTCTTCCAATGCCAATATCAAAATGTCATGCTCCTATTACCAATAAGGAAAAGTCTACTTGACTGTCATGATTACTTCCAATGTGTCACATTCCCTAGCAGCACTCACTTAACTGACAAGCCTGGTTCTACATAGGATGGCTTTTTTTTTCCAGAAGACAAATAGGCAAAGACATAAGACTAGCCTAAAATGTTTTTAAAGCTTCTCTTTACTCTCATACTGTCTCTATCATTGTCTTGACCCTCTCTTTATTGTCATTACTAGACATTTTAGAAAATCTGGTCTGTACCAGAGTTGCCTGGTAGGATGTAAGTTCTTATTTTATTTTTGTTTCTTTATCTGGAGTGACTTACGCACAGTAGATACTTAAACATTTGTCGACCCAAATGCCCAACTGCCAATCTGCAACATTTATTTTTGTACAAAATGTTTTACTATACTAACAAAGGTCTTTCCTTCTTAGGACCTACAAATATTACAGAAAAAATATTGACTCAGGTTTTTTGGAGGAAACTTAGAGGCTATCTAATTCAAGACTCTTGTTTAACCAGTGATAGATTATCTTAAAAAAAAAAACAGTCTGTCTCCTCGACTTTCCTATTATTGATGACCTAATTCTCCAAGACAGTTTTGAAAGTTTGGTATTATTTCTAACTTTTCCCCACATCCAATCAACTGAAATTTCCAATGATTCTAGCTCTTCAACATCACTCACAGTGACCTTCTCATTTCTCCTAGATGATTATAGCAACTCCTAACTGGTCTTCCTATCTCCAGTATCTTCCCCTATTTCAAACTGTAATCCATGGCCCTTAACTAAAAGTGCTATGTTTATATAGGCTAAGTTCATTTGTGTGTGTGTGTGTGTGTGTGTGTGTGTGTATGTGTGTGTGTTTGTGTGTGTGTGTATTGTGTGTGTTTGTGTGTGTGTGTGTGTGTGTGTGAGAGAGAGAGAGAGAGAGAGAGAGAAATATATGTTTTATTGTGCACTTCTAGTCTTTCACCTATCTGCCAAGATTTAGAAAGCATGATTCATTCCCCAGTCTTCTGGAGTAGTGATTGATTATCTAATTCATCAAAGCTCTTAAGTATTTCAAAGTTGTTTTCTTTTACATTATATAAATTATTTTCCTGGTTCTGTTCACTTATATCTGAATGATTTCATACAATTCTTTCTACAGTCTCTGAATCCATCTCTTTCATCATGTCTTATGGTACCATGATATTCCCTCATATTCATAATCCATAATTTGTTAAGTCATTCTAAAAATGATAGGCACACACTTTGTCCACTTCTTTGCTATAACAAAAAAAAATTTGCATGTAAATCCCCTCCCTCAATCTTTGATCTCTTTGTGATATGTTGCTAATAGTAGGGTATTGCTGGGTCAATGGGTATATACAATTCACTTTTTATGTATAGTTACAAACTGGTGACCAATTAGTCAGTCAACATTTTTTAACACAGTGCTAGGCACTGTTCTAAATGAGGAAGACACAAAGTCAGAAACAAAATGGTTCCTGCCCTCAAGATGCCTACATAGTACTGGGAGATATACTGTATAATCAGGTAAGTAAATCCTAGAGATATACAAAATATGAATGTAATTTGTGAGAGGGGCACAAACAACTAGGGGAATAAGGAAAGGTCTCTTGAAGGAGGAAACAGTTGAGAGTTGAAAGAGGTTTGGAGATTTCACAACGATTAGCTGAGAAGAAAGAGTACTCCAGGCATGGGGGGAGGGAGAACAGCTTCTGTAAAGTCCAAAGGTCAGAGATGGAATATTGCGTACAGAGAAAAGAACAGGAAGGCCTTCAAGTGTCCCCTGCATGCTTGGAGAAGTGACTGAGGAGCATCCCGGCTAAAGGCCAAGAATGATCTAATTGGAGGAAGAGGAGAGGAAATAAAGAGGGATGTCTCAAGCATTTACATTTAATACAAGGGAATGGAAGGTTTTGTTTTGTTTTGTTTTGTTTTTAAAAAGAACATAACAGAAGGGAAATGAGAAATAAATACTTTGCCATTGCTACTGGGGGGAAACTGAGAGGTGAACATCACGGGCACAATTTCACAAAGAGGAGAATGTCCTATTTCTACCCCTGGAGGTGGGGAAGGAATTCCTGTGTTGGACCAGGGGAGTATGATGAATGGACCATAGGATCTTAGCAGTTAGAGTTGGAAGAGATGTTCAAGATTATTTGACCTAGAGATTCTTAACCTGGGGTCCATGAACTTATTTTTTTAAACTATCTTCATAGCTACTTTTAATAGAATTAGTTTGTAATCCTATGTATTTTATTTTATGTATTAAAAAACATTATTCTAAAAAATCCATAGGCTTCACCAAATTACCAAAGGCAGTAGTATATTGATTAATGTTTAACAATCAGCTCTCCAAAATACATAGCAGACTTTTAAGTTTAATCTGCATCTTTAACATTTCTCCATCACTTTCTTAAATCTAGACAATCAACAAAACAATAAACCAAGCCCCAATTTGTACCATTTGCCAGTTTCTCAGCAGTAAATGCTCACACTGAAAATTTAACAATCAGCTCTCTTGAGCTGGCTACAACACATTCTTGGGCCAAAGGGGTCCATGACACATAAAAGGTTAAGATGCCCTGATCTTATACAAACCCCTAGCTCTCAGTTTTACAGAGGACACTAGGGCTCAGAAAAGTATAATGTGATTTTTTCAAAGTCACCCAGGCAGTAAGTGAAGAGCTGGGATTTGAACCCAGGTCCTCTGATTTCGTATCTAACACCCTTTCTGTTATAACAGAATATGAGTCAAGAGCTACCAAGCTCCTCAGGCCATAAAACTGCCTGCCTGTCACATAGCTTCACCACCCAGTGGTTATAGCTCTGGGTCTGGATTCAAGAAGACCTAAGTTTAAAAAATCCTACTTTGGACACTTACTGGCTGTGGGACCCTGAGTAAGTCACTTCACAATTCTGTCTGCTTCAGTTTCCTCAACTGTAAAATGGGAATAATAATGGCATCTACCTCCCAGAGTTGTTGTGAGGCTCGAATAAGATAGTATTTGTAAAGTGCCTGGCACAGTACCTGGAACATAGTAGGTGCTTAATAAATGCTTGTTTCTTTCCTCCCTCTCTCCTTCCCTTCTCTTTCTCCCTTCCTTCCTTCCCTCCTTCCTCTCCAACACCTCCAACAAGTAGTCCTCCAGCCATTGCTGAAAGACCTCCAATAAGGAAGTACTCACTTCTTTCTGAGGCAGCCCACTTGTCTTTTGGACACTTCCAAATGTTAAGAAGCCTGTCCCTTTATCAAAGTTGCCTCTTTCAATTTTCATTCATTGCTTCTACTTCTACTCTCTACTTTTAGGGCTTGCAGTCTTCAGGAAACCTGGACTTCAGGTCTAGCTCTATCCTGGGTGACTTTGGGCCAATCATAGCTCAATTAGGAGTTGCTCTTCTAGAGAATGGGGGGGTTAGACTAGATGGGGGCCTGATGGCTTGTCCAACTCAAACATTCTTTGGCTTTGTGATGAGAGAATTCCAGACAATGAAGAAGATAAACTAGAAAAAGTGAGTGAGAAGAAAGAAAAAAACATTGACCAGGTTCTCCTGCTTACTCCACGTGCTCATAAAACTCTTTGGGAAAGAAAAGGTGAGTAGAAGGAAACTGAGCTTGTCTTTTCCAAGCAATTCTTTCTGCTAGAATTCCCTGATTTTCAGGGGGATTATTTTCATATTTACAGGGATCATTTTCATAATAATAATAAGGCCAACTTCATTCATTCATTCATTCATCCATTCATCCACTCATCCCTTCATTCACCAAACATCTATTTATTCATTTTAATTCAATTTTAGCTGCAAATTCTCTTTTTCTCACCCCTCCCTCCACAACCTAATAAGAAAGCAAGAAAAACATACATCAACAAGCATTTATTAAGTGACTCCCCTGTGACAAGCACTCTGCTAGAGTCTGGAAATACAAAGACAAAAACAGAAACATCCCTGCCCTCAGAGGTGGTCTTTTATGTGTCCTCTGAGAAAAGGGGCCACATTTATTTGCCCTTTCTTCACAAGCTTACAAGGTAAATGGTGTGGACGTTATCATACCCTCATTTTACAGATAAGGAAATTGAGGCTTTGAGAAGTGATTTACCTGGAGTCAGGAAGCAGTATAGCCCAGAATATGAGAGAAGAGATGACAGTTAGTGAAGAATTCTTCTCCCAGTGGGCAAAGGAGCTGGAATGTTAGTGCTAGAAGCAAAGAGAAAATGGAAGTTAGTGAACAAGAGGGTAGGAGTGGAGAAATCAGTCTACAAGGATGTATGTATCAGGTGATATACTAGGATCTGGAAACACAAAAACTCAAAAGGAGGAAGAATAGACATCTCTAGCCTCTTTTTCCTATGCCCTTCTCCAAGAGAGACTTTCATTCCTTCCAGAAGTGGAAGCAAGAGGTTGAGGCCAGAGGATCCTCTGCTCTCCCCAAAGAAAAGGGGTATGAGGCTTGAAGTATATCTATCATCTCCCTTAAACATTGTTTATCTAGGAAATACAATGGGTTCCATCTAACTTCTGATAGTTTTGTCAATTTTGAAGGGCAAGGGAACCCCAAACTCTATATCTGAGGCTCATCCACCTTGCCACCAAATACCAGTTCCCTAATGAACATACACAGAGAATAGCAAAGAAAGCTCATTCATCCAAATCATAACAAAATAGAAATCAAAGGAGGTCTACATAGGATAATATATATATATACTAGACAATAGAGTGAAGGAACTCTCATAGTGAGAGCAAGATAACTCAATTGAACCAAGAGTGTTCTAGATATCACCCAAAGGGGAAACACTCCAAAGCTTCTAGAGTAGCAAGCTAGAAATAGGAACATGATAGAGA